TCGGCCCAGTACCTCCTCCTCCCAGGTTCAAGTAATTCTCATACCTAAGCCTCCCAAGTAGCTAGGATTACAGGTGCACACCATTATACCCACCTAACTTTTGCACTTTTAGTAGAGAAGAAGTTTTGCAATTTCACCCAGGCTGGTCTCGAACTCCTGGACTCAAGTGATCTACCTGCCTCCACCTCCCAAAAGTGCTGGGATTACAGGCATGAGCCACTGTACCCGGCCATAAAGGGGAAACATTTTAAAAACAGGCAAATGAAAAATCTTTCACATCTGCTTTTGTCTGCATGTCTGTTATATCTGTATGTTTATTTGTGTCATATGGAAGTGATATTTCACTATTAAACTGTGTGAAAGAGCTCTAATCAAAGGAAAGTAAGAGCTTATCAGACTAATAGGAGCTAGCTCAGCCAGGCACAGTGGCTCACACCTGTAATCCCAGCACTTTGGGAGGCCGAGGAGGGCGATCATGAGGTCAGTAGTTAGAGACCAGCCAACATGGTGAAACCCCATTGCTACTAAAAATACAAAAATTAGCCAGGTATGGTGGCGTGTGCCTGTAATCCCAGCTACTCAAGAGGCTGAAGCAGAAGAATCGCTCAAACCCAGGAGTTGGAGGTTGTAGTGAGCCAAAGTCATGCCACCACACTCCAGCCTGGGGAACAGAGTGAGACTCCATCTCAAAAAAAAAAAAAAAAAAACAAAACAAAAAAATTGGGGTAATTGGCCAGGCGCGGTGGCTCAAGCCTGTAATCCCAGCACTTTGGGAGGCCGAGGCGGGTGCATCACGAGGTCAAGAGATCGAGACCATCCTCGTCAACACGGTGAAACCCCGTCTCTACTAAAACTACAAAAACTTAGCTGGGCATGGTGGCGCGTGCCTGTAATCCTAGCTACTCAGGAGGCTGAGGCAGGAGAATTGCCTGAACCCAGGAGGCAGAGGTTGCGGTGAGCCGAGATCGCGCCATTGCACTCCAGCCTGGGTAACAAGAGCGAAACTCCGTCTCAAAAAAAAAATTGGGGTAATTAACAAAAAAAATGGGAAAAGAAAAAGAGAGTCAAAGAATTCACCCCAGAAGAGTGTCAGAAATTTTTAGACGGTTATTCATTATTTGCCCTAGATTGGAAAATTTTTTTTAAAAAAATCAGAAGGCAAGGGTTATCATGAGAAAGCTGACATTGTCTGGGGCAATGCTGAGGCAAATTAAGATAAAAAATTTGATAAAAAGGCTTGAGTCCCTTGACTCCACTCCCTGCTGGGAACCCAAACCCTTTTTTTACCAGAAAAGGTAAAATGATCTTGGGGTAGAAAAGTTCCTGGGACAAGAACATAAAAACATACAGGCTAATAGAATTGTAAAATCTGAGATGTTTAAACAGACATTATGTAAGGTAGTTGTGACTCTTCACCTAAATGTCTTATGAAAATGGGTACTGTATCTGACTGGGGGATGTTTCCCCTATCTAGTACTACACAACTGAAAGCAGGTAAATCTGCTCTTTCAGAAATGTTAACTGGACTTACTAAATGGGAGCTAGAAAGATTTCCTGAGCCCACAAAATATCAGGGAGAAGCTGGAGTGCTAGTTGGGACAAATCCTCTACTTTGTAGCCTTTTGTGGAACATTTATTGGGACTTACGGCAAAAAACTGTGAGTACTTCCCAATAACAACTACTGGACTAGTGAATTTCTACTGGAGGGGCATTTACTGCCTTGCTATGGAATGTTAGCTGAAGCTACCCCTGTGCTAATGGAAATAAAGGTGTTCAAAAGAGTTCCATGATAAAATTAAAATGGTTTGCATAGGATCTTGCTATCTGGGAATACAAGAAGGAGATACTCATAAGCAAGAACCGTCTTTTTCCCCTAGGACTGATTCTAACTATTTGAGGAGCTGCTAGATTTTACAGTGCCTAATTGCTCTCATGAGCTGTTTGGCTTGTGAATGGCAGTTCCAAGGTGAACAAACATCTTGCTTGGAAGGCTGCTGCTCTGTTTAAAGAACGGTCCAAAAAACCTTTTTTTATAGTTATTTATAGTTTAGAGCATTTGGGTGAAGTATGATTTGTAAGCAAACTTACCTCTGTCTCTGAGTTATCCAAAATTCAAATTGTGATTTTATGACAATATGGTTATTTGCATAAATTCAGTAAGAGTCTTTCAGAACAAAATAATTGGAGACAGGTTATTTTACCAAGACTTTGACTAAAATTGTATATTTTTAGGTAAAGTTCCAGCAAAATCAACTTGAAAGGGGCCTATGTAGCCAATCAATTCTTGCTGCACTTTATGTGAATAATCAAAGTATAATAAATCTAAAATTTAATTTGCACACAAATTGATCTTACTATAATTTCTCTTCAATAGAAAAGGAAATTCGGAGAGAGAAATTGTTTCAAAGGAAAAGTATAACACTTGATACTAAATTCTGTTTGAGAGTAGGCTGAATTATGAATTATTTCTTGGCTACAATAATCCTCTAGAGAATACTAGATTATAATTTTTCTTCATATCTTTAGTTGGTGCCCTAATGGAAGAGGTTCTCTTTTCTGTTCTGACATACAAATATTCTTTCTATTGTAAAAATATTAACGTTATTTCTCCTTACTTACAAGGAAACCAAAATTATGGTATTCTCAAAACCAGAGATGCCAATCTCTGTTATTTGGCATCCTGTTAACAGGTAGAAGAGATCTGAGTTACCGGCGGCGAATCTATACAGGTCCTCAGCAACTTCAGTTCTTGCCTCTTCGGAAAGAATTTGAGAGGCATAAAGCAAAAAAGAGACCAAGGCAAGTTCCAGAGCAGGAATGGAAGTTTATTTGAAAAGGCCTTAGAACAGGAAAGCAAGGAACATGTGCTTGGAAGAGACCCAAGCAGGCATGTGAAGGTTGAAGAGAAAAGGTCAAGTGCCCTGTTTAACCATGTCCCTAGCATTTTTATAAGCTCACCTCTTTCCCATGTTTCTTCTTTTAGGGTGGGCTTTCCACATGCCCAGTGCTTTCCTATCCTTTGGAACTGAACACACGCAATGTGTTTAGGGAGTTATAAACATGGCCATCTGAGGCTTACTTCCCTTTTCCAGTGGAGTGTGCCCCCAGAAGATCATACTTCACCATTTTCTTTTCTTTTCTTTTTTGTCTCTTAACATGCATGCCCAGGAAGTTGTACCTCCGTGGGGCCTGCATTCAGTTAATATTTTGATGTTAACAGGTATGGACCATTAGGAAATGGCCTCTCCTTCGTGCTGCCGAATTATCATTTTTAGACAGGCAATGTAATAATTGCTGAACCATCACCTGACATTCTAGTGAGTAGGGAAGAGCCCTCTCCTGCCCAGCTCATGCCTAACTAACTACCTGTAACAATCCCATTGGGCCCAATCTTTTTTTCACTGCAAATGCCTTGCTGCTAAGACTATACAAGCACCCTCCCTCTAGGCCCAGGGACTGTTGCCTGGGTGTGTAAGGGCGAGTTTTACGGGATACAATTAGATCAAGGTCAGACCCTCCAAGTCAAGGATGGGTACAAAGATGCCTGGACAGCTGGTAAAAGAAGAAAATAATTACAGAGAGGATGATGATACCTTGTGACGAAGCCTCCTGGGTATAATACTCCCAGCTATGAGTTGTGCAGATATATATATATTTTTTATTTTTTTTCAGAACAATGTTTATGTTCTGTATAGCTAATTGCTAAAGTCTGTAACTAAAACAAAGATTACATAGCTCAATGCATAACACAGAAGTTAAAAATAAGTCAGTTTTTTTCATAATTTTAATGAAAATTAACATTTAAAAAAACCCTTTGGCTTTTTGTTTGTTCACATTCTACTTAAAAAACAAAATTAATAATAATCTTAAGAGGTAATGAATGCCTGTCCATGTCTATTCCTATCTGGCTTAGAATAATTAATTGACTCTAAGTCTTGTTTACTCTAAGTCCCTCGGCCATAGAGAGTCCCACTCAAGGACAGGATAAACCAGGGGCAGGCAGTCAGGCCACCTCAGCAACACTATGTAGCGAAATTAAAATGTTACCTTTGGCAAATCTTGGCCAGAAGGGAGAAAATTCAAAGGCTCCCACAACCATTTGAATGCACTCTCTCCTTGGCCAGGGCACTCTATAATTTAACCAGAAAGACTAGTTAAGGCCATGAAGGGAAGTGGGGGGTAATCATCATACCCCTCCAGCATTAACATTAATGCAGACCTTCAGTCTGATAAGAAACATTTACAATCTATTTTCTCTAAAGTCTGCTACCTGGAGGCTTCATCTGCAGGATAAAACCTTGGTGTCAGCCAGGCACAGTGACTCATGCCTGTAATCCCAACGCTTTGGGAGGCCAACATGGCGAAACCCTATCTCAACTAAAAATACAAAAATTCGCTAGGCATGGTGACACATGCCTGTAATCCCAGCTACTCAGGAGACTGAGGCAGGAGAATCGCTTGAACCCAGGAGGCAGAGATTGCAGTAAGCTGAGAACATGCCACTGCACTCTAACCTGGCAAGAGTGAGGCTCCGTCTCAAAAAAAAAAAAAAAAAAAAACAAAACCACGTTGGTGTCTACAATTGCCAATCTGAGTATGTTTAAATTTACATATGACCTGGAAGCCCCCACTTCGGGTTATCCCACCCTTCCAGATGCAACCAATGTAAATCTTACATGTATTGACTGATGTATTATGTCTCCCTAAATTGTATAAAAGCAGGCTGTACCCTGACTACCCTGGGCACACATCATCAGGACCTCCTGAGGCTATGTCATGGGCACGTCCTTAATCCTGGCAAAATAAACCTTCTAAATTGACTGAGACTCTGTCTCATATTTTGGGTTCATGTCTGTATGAGAAAATGTTATCAATATAAGTACTCCAAAAACTGTATAAAAGGCCAAGTGTGGTGGCTGATGCCTATAACCCCAGCACTTTGGGAGGCCAAGGCAGGAGAATCACTTTTGCCCAGGAGTTTGAGATCATCCTGGGCAATAAGATAAGACCTTGTCTCCTTTTTTAAAAAAACTATATGGGCCAGGTATGGTGGCTCACACCTGTAATCCCAGCACTTTGGGAGGCCCAGGCAGGCGGATCACCTAAGGTCAGGAGATCAAGACCATCCTGGCCAATAGGTGAAATCCCATCTCTGCTAAAAATACAAAAATTAGCTGGGTGTGGTGGTGTGTGCCTATAATCCCAGCTACTCAGGAGACTGAGGCAGAAGAATCACTTGAACACGGGAGGCAGAGATTGCAGTGAGCTGAGATCATGCCCCTGCACTCCAGCCTGGTGATAAAGCAAGACTGCATCTCAAAAAAAAAAAACACCTGTATGAAGTTTGTCAATGTACTCATTGTCCATATATATTCTGATATAATGTTATCAATCATAATTCCAATTATTATTTTAAAATGTTGTATGGCACAGAAACAACTAAATTTCCTGTCAACTCCATTATTTTGATAATGAACTCGAATAAAATCTTTAACCATGGCCATTTTAGGTCTTTTGTCATTCACATATAATTACTCTTGTATTCAAATGCTTCCCTGAAAGCTCACAATCAGCTACGAGCTGGAATGCTTCATATTCAACATAAATGACTGCCTCAGAGATCCAAGGAAAGAATTATACAGGTACTCTGAGGTATAGGTTCCTCATGGCATTGCTTAAATAACTGAAATCATACGGTTGGATTAAGTGAAAATGTCCAAAATTCTACTAGGGAAACTGATAACCCTCATCTGTAAAACGGGAATGAAAATTTAAAAAAAAAAAAAAAACTGGGCTGCTGAGCGCACTGGCTCAGCACTTTGGGAGGCCAGGGCGGGCAGATCCCCCTGAGCTCAGGGGTTTGAGACCAGCCTGGGCAATATGGTGAAACCCTATCTCTACTAAAACACAAAAAATTAGCTGGGCATGGTAGCACATGCCTGTAATCCCAGCTACTCAGGTGGCTGAGGCAGGAGAATCACTTGAACCCAGGAGAAGGAGGCTGTAGTAAGCTGAGATCACTTCACTACACTCTAGCCTGGGCAACAGAGTGAAACTTTGTCCAAAAAAAAAAAAAAAAAAAAAAAACCCAGATAACCTAAGATCAAGCATATGTCCAATTATCATTCTTGCTGCACTTACATAAATGATTACACCAAATTTAATGAGATTAGATTTTTGTAAACAAGAGTGTTATTTTACCTTTGATCAAACTGAGGATGACTAAACAGAGAAATTTTATATTTCTTTCTTTTTTTTTTTTTTTTTTTTTTTTTGAGACATAGTCTTGCTCAGTCGCCCAGGCTAGAATGCAGTGGTATGATCTTGGCTCACTACAACCTCTGCCTCCCAAGTTCAAGCGATTTTCCTGCCTCGGCCTCCCAAGTAGCTGGGATGACAGGCACCTGACATCATGCCAGGCTAATTTTCGTATTTTTGTAGAGATGGGGTTTCACCATGTTGGCCAGGCTGGTCTTCAACTCCTGACTTCAAGTGATCCACCAGCCTAAGCCTCCCAAAGTGCTGGAATTACAGGCATTAGCCACTACACCTGGCCAGAAATTTTACATTTCAATAGAAAATTATCATCTACGCTACTGGGTTATCAGACCATAGTTCTGTTATTTGTCTCTGAGCTATCTTTCACCACTCCGTAAACTACAGCCTGCTGTCTTGCATATCCTGTCAGTAATTAATGCTTCCCATTTTTCTCCCACCCTCCTGACTTGAAGTCACTAAGAACTAAAACCTGATTGCCTGGATCCTTATTGAGACTCTAGTTTCTCTTGTCCTAAAGCCCTACAAGCTGGATGACCTGATATAAACTAAAAGAACTTATTAATACAACCATTTTGGCCACGCAGGAAGTTCACTGAACACCCACATCTTCCATGGTCTGCTCCAGGAAATAACCTTGTTTTTCTCTTGTTAATCTGTCGTTACAGGAGTCTATTCCAATTAAGAATTTATGAGGTGGCCAGGTACAGTAGCTCATGCCTGTAATCTCAGCACTTCAGGAGGCCAAGGCAGGAAGATTGCTTGAGCCTAGCCTGGACAACATAGTAAGACCCTGTTTCAATTTAAAGAAAAAAGAAAAGAACTAATGAGGTTTGAGAGAAAAACAGCTTTCCCTCTCTTCAGACAAACCAGTGACTGCTGTACTAACTAGCCCCCTTTCCTTTTTGTTTACCCCTCAATTTCACATCCCTTTCTTGTTTAATTGAAATTCTCTTTTTTGTTTTCATGACAGCCTACCATTCAATTAATTGAAATTTTCATTCCATAACTTGAACTTGTTAAGCCTTCATTAAAAAAATTTTTTTTGAGGCAGGGTCTCCCTATATTGCCCAGGCTGGTCTCAAACTCCTGGATCACTCCAGGATCAAGTGATCTTCCCGCTTGTGTCTCCCCAAGTGCTGGGATTACAGGTAGGAGCCATCATGCAGGGCCACTCATTAAGCCTTTTAAAAGACAAAAACAAGTTTTACTTCAAGTTTCTTCCTACATTTTGATACCCCAGAGGAGCATTCAAAGCTCTAAATTCATTTTCCCTCAAGCCTGAGGTAAAACTCATTTACTGTGGACATCCCATGGTTCATTCTTTATAAAAAAGCCACCCCCATGGCCCTTCCAGGACAGTTGTCCCAACTGTCCCACTCAAGAGATACTAATAACTAGAACTTTTCATTCTATACTACCCCTCACAGTCCCCCACAACCCACTGACACACACTCCTATCTCAAATTCATTTTGTATTTAAACATGTATAGTTGTTGATGCTTAAACTGGATTTAGGTATTTTAGATTATAACAAAAAAGAAAAACAAAAGTTGCTTGTTGTTTTTGTTCACTTTCTTTTACTAAAACTAATTACTCAAGATTGGGTATTTGGCTCATAGTTTTCAAAGCTGCAAAGTCCAAGGTTGAGGGGCTGTACCTGGTAAGGCCCTTCTTACTACGTAATATCATGGCAGAGTATCACACATGGGAAGTGGTCAAAAGCATGGCAGCTTAGGTCTCTCTGTTCTTATAAAGTCACCAGTACCATCATGGCTCACCCCCACATTGATACAGAAGGGCTGGGCTCCGAGCTAAACCCTACCCTTAAGCCTGGAACCATGGCACAATAAGCCATGAGTTTGAACATATATAACTGTCTGAGTCACTGAGAAATCTCACAGCTTCAGTCTGAGTTAGCATAACTAGGCAGTGTGAACCTAATTAACGTAACACTTATCATGTCGGAAACTTGTTTGTTCCCCCAAGAACTCCAAAGACACACACTGCCTCATGCTTCCATTCCATGCCTATCAAGCAACCTTCCAACTATTTTCTTAGAATTCCAGGTGACTTAATATTTTAAAAAGTTATCTTAAATAATGAATACAAACAATTCTGATGAATGGATAGGTGAGCTCAAACAACATGAAAAAAAAAAAAAAAGAATAACAACAACCGTCTAGTTTATCCAATAGTCTCTTGGAAGCCTCCTGTTTTTTTTATTTTTCATTTTTTTTTATTTTTTTCCAAGACAGAGTCTTGCTCTGTTATCCAGGCTAGAGTGCAGCAGCGTTACCTTGGCTCACTACAACCCCACCTCCTGGGTTCAAGAAATTCTCCTGGCTCAGCCTCCTGAGTAGCTGGGATTACTCAGGAGACATATGCCACCACACCCAGCTAATTTTTGTATTTTTAGTAGAGATGGGGTTTCACCATGTTGCCCAGGCTAGTCTCGAACTACTGACCTTGTGATCCGCCTGCCTCGGCCTCCCAAAGCGCTGGTATTACAGGCATGAGCCACCATACCCGGTCTTAGTAGTCTCTTTGGATCATTCTCTTAGAGACTAATCAATTCTGGATGCCAGGGCAAAAGAGGTTTATCAGCAGAATCCTGGTCACTTTACAAGTTCTGCCATCCAAAGACAGACTATCCTGGCAGTTGGCTGGCTTCCCCCTCTCAGAGAATTTGTTTTCCCTAAACCTCAATAGCAGTCACCTGGACTTTTCATAACATCTGGGCATAATTATACCGAAAAGGCTGTAGGGGAGAAAAGTATCTTTCCCTCCCCCTATCTTAGGGTTACAGCTGAGTCTCTTATGATAAAAAACAGGTGAACAAAAGAAAAGCATACAATTTTTTTTTTTGAGACAGGGTCTCAGTCTGTCACCCAAGCTGGAGTTCAGTGTTGTAATCACAGCTCGCTAGCTCACTACAGCCTTGACCTCCCAGGCTCAAGTGATCCTCCCATCTTAGCCTCCAGAGAAGCTGAGACTATAGACACGCACCACCATATCCAACTAATTTTTTGTAAAGACCAGGTCTCATTATGTTGCTCAGGCTAGTCTTGAACTCCTGGGCTCAACTGATCCTCCTGCCTTGGGCGCCCAAAGTGCTAGGATTACAGGTGTGAGCCAGTGCATCTGGACTTACAAATGTAAATTTTATATGACACAGGAGCTTTCATAAGGAATGTAGATCTAAAAAGAAAGAAAAAATAATAATAAAATAAGGAATGTAGATGTGAAGAAACAGCTAAACCAGAATATTTTTTTGCTAGGTTTGATGAAGAAAGGAAAGTTGTGGAGAAATATGACAGGGCAAAAAGAATATGGTCCAATGGTAATAAACTAGGGGAAATTTATCTAGGCCTATTTGCTGAGACTTCTTGGCGTCTATTTGTCTTCAGAGGTAGAGATGTTCCTTTCTTCCAGGTATAAGAAGGGCACCTCTCTGTGAAAGTTGCAGATAGCAAGATGAAATTAACTTTTGCTAGACCCAGACAAAATAGAGCCGGGAACACCCAAAGAGGAGGAGGCCCATGCTTGTAAGACAAGAACAGTTTCCAAGGACTTTCTAAAAGTCGTTCTGTGTCCTTCACACATCTCCTGCTTTGATAAGGTTTATCACTAGACATTCTTTAGGACTGCAGTAATTCAAATAATTAATGAACTGGAAACAGTTCTTATCTCGGACATGTAATTCAGATAAAATGTTTTCAGAAGAACACTTGCCCAGTAAGGGCATCTCCACCAATGAACTGATAACAACTCTGGCTTTGAACCTCTGGAACCAATGAACTCTGTTCCTAAGCAGCTTATGTAAATCTCTTTTGCTAATAAAAGCTTCCCTTACCCTTCCCTCATGGAATGCACTGGTGGCTTGCCATTCCATGCATTCCAGGTTATAATTGTTATTTCTACACCTAAGTAAACCCAACATGTACAGACACAGTTTTCTCTACTATCCTTTTTTTAAGATTGACATCTCAGATGAGGATCTTGGGACCTCCTTCTGGAGGTCAGAAAATCCTTCCAAGGTTTTTATGACCTGCTTCACAGGAGTAGGCAGTGGAAGGTAGGAGAGATTTCCCTGCTTTTGCTACTTTCTCAAATGCCTTCAGCTTAAAAAATATCCAAGGCTGGCTTATAGCTTATCACAACCATTTACAAATTTATTTGTTCCTTCTCCATTCCCACTGCTTCACTTGACTGGCCTTAAAAATAAAAAAATACGTCAAGGTACGACATTTTGGGGTAGTGTGTCCTGGATCCTATAAAGGTCGTATTCCTTAAAATTGCTTAAAATATGTGACAAATTCCTTTTCCAAAACTAAAAAATGCATGCTTAGCTCTTTAGGATACTGAAAATAGATATTAAATAGCTTCCTGGGCCAGGCACGGTGGTTCACACCTGTAATCCCAGCACTTTAGGAGGCTGAGGCGGGTGGATCACTTGAGTCCAGGAGTTTGTGATCAGTGAAACCCTGTCTCTACTGAAAATACAAAAATTAGCCAGGCGTGGTAGCACACACCTGTAATCCCAGCTACTCAGATGACTGAGGCATGAGAATTGCAAACCCAGGAGGCGGAGGTTATAGTGAGCCAAGATCGTACCACGGCACTCCAGCCTGGGCAACAGAAGGAAACTATCTCAAAATAAGTAAATAAATAAATAGCTCCTTGCTTTATATTACTTAGCTTCTTATAGGTTTTGTTAATTAAAAATCACAAAAGGTTACTATCACACTGGTCTTTAAGAAAAAACTACAGAAGGCCACTGTTTTGGACTAAGCTACTGCACTAGGTCCCAACAGACAACACTAAAAATCAAAATGGAGTCACCCATGCTAAAGTTCACATCACCACAACTAAAACTATGTTGTTATCTGACCTTCCAAGGAATGAGAACAGAGCTATAACAGCCAATTTCTCCAACAGGCCAGTTTCAGTCTTCAAGTAGCATGAGAATGAAGTTCCCTTTGCTTCAATCCCTACACAATACTTACAGCCTGAAGTAACCTAATGTCAGTCAGTTATTTTTCTATTGTTCTATCTCCTCATCCGTGCCTTACAAGGAAAGTAACTTTTTGAAATGACCAATCTGCTTTTTATTCTTTGTTTCTGCTTTATTCAGCCCTTTCTGCCTATAAAATCTACTCCCTCTGCTCAACTCATGGAAACATTTATTCTACTTTATGGAATGAAGTGTTGCCCAATTCTAGAATTACAAATACACAGAGACTGATAAGCAAAAAGTGATGGAGGCAGGTCTCAATAGATTAGAGGTTTATTTAGCCAAGGCTGAGGATGTGCCCAGGGTAAAAACAAACCACAGGAGCATCTGTGACCTATGCTTTTCCCAAACAAGGTTTTGTGAACTTTGGTATTTAAAGAGGAAAGAGGAAGCAGGATGGGGGGAAATAAAAGGAAGAACAGGCAGGCAATGAGGCAGATGGTTACATTCTTGTGAAGCTCCAATTAGCCTCAGAAAAATCTACATTTTACATAAGATAAACATGAAAAGAGAGTAGAAGAAATGAGGGTATGACATGGGGTTGTGATATTATAGCTATCAATTTGACAACAAAAGGAAAATTGTATTGATGACTCAGATCCCAAGTTTAACTTTCCCTTTTGTACAGTGAGTTTGGGGTTCCAAGATTCTATTTTTCTTAAGCCCTCTAAATTAGTTGTAATTTTGTCTTTTGACAGATTATCATTACTGTGTCTGAACGTATATGCCACTGCAGCTGGTTATGGCTCCCAAAGACAAATAACTAAAATCTAACCTTATAAAGGGAACAGTCTTACTTCTACATTACTTACACAAATCAATATGTTTAATTTAAAAAACACTAACTCTACAATTGGCATCACCTTTAAGCTGTCCAGAACTCTTGTAATACATTCTGTCAGTGAATCTAAATACATATCCCTAATGTAAATAATTTTCCTGAAAGAATAATGTAACTAACACTTTACCACATAGCAGGATTTTAAAACAGTAATACTGAGAAAAGAACTTTGAGAAATGTGAGTCCTTTTAAATTATGAGGCCCAGAGAGACATTAAAATGAAACAGCAAGCATGTCTTACTTCCCCCTTGAGCTATGTATCCATCTCTTGAAACTGCTTGCTATTGCCACAAGTAGCTATAAATTAACCTAATAATGCCATACATACCTTCAATATAACCCACACCCTATAGCTTAACAATGTACGGACAATCACTAATCAATGTTATTTCCATAAACCAATTAGAATTTCTGACAGACAACTCTGAATTGGCCCACTTCCTATCCCCCTTTGTTTCCCTTGAAAGACCCACTTTTAACTGCTGCTAATTGGAGTGTATATTCACAGCAATTTAAATCTATGCTCCTGGTTGCAATACTCAAGCTTGGCCAAATAAACTCTCTGTATTAATTCTGCCTCAGCTTCTTATTTTAGCTCAACACTAACAATTACTAAATACAAATTATATGCCAAGCACTATTGAGGAGTTTTACATTTTGTTTGTTTTTGTTTTTTCCTTGGGAGACAGAGTCTCACTCTGTCACCCAGGCTAGAGGGCAGTGGCACAATCACAGCTCACTGCAACCTCAAGCTACCAGGTTCCCAGGTTGAAGCAATCCTTCCACTTAAACCACCTAAGTAGCTAGGACTACAGGCGTGTGCCACCATGCCCAGTTAATTTCTGTATTTTTTGTAGAGATGGCATTTGGCCCATGTTGCCCAGGCTGGTCTCAAACTCCTGGGCTCAAGTGATCTGCCTGCCTTGGCCTCCCAAAGTGCTGGGGTAACAGGTATGAGCCACAGTGTCCAGCTACATATATTTTCATATAGATTAGATACATTACTAATTCTAGCTAAATTCAAAATCATTCTTCTTATTCTATACAGGGAGAAACTAACGCTCAGAAAGATTAAGCAACTCACCCTTAGTAAACTGTAATACTAAGATTTTTTTTTTTCCAGATGGAGTCTTGCTCTGTCACTCAGGCTGGAGTGCAATGACACAACTTCAACTCACTGCAACCTCCACCCCCCAGGTTCAAGTGATTCTCCTGCCGCAGCCTCCTGAGTAGCTGTGATTACAGGTCCCTGCCTAGTTAATTTTTGTATTTTTAGTAGTGATGGGGTTTCACCACATTGGCCAGGCTGGTCTCGCACTCCTGACCTCAGGTGATCCACCTGCCTCGGCCTCCCAAAGTGCTGGGATTACAGGCATGAGCCACCATGCTGGGCTAGTACTAGGATTTTTAACTAAAGTCCTTCTTGCCTCCTAAAACCTATTATTTTCCAAATAACAAACTGCTTCCTAAAAGTCACAAACTCATCAGAATGGTGTTAGGTGGCCTCCAAACTCCATGTTCAGTCATCAACAGAATGTATTCTTATAAGTGGGCAGATGGGGGCTTCTGACATTCCTTTTTACTCAATGTTTCCCAAATATCTCATAATCTTTTTTGAGACAGGGTCTCACTCTGTCACCCAGGCTGGAGTACAGTGGTTCAATCTCAGCTCACTGCTCCCTCTAGCCCCCAGGCTCAAGCAATCCTACCACTTCAGCCTCCTGAGTAGCTGGGACTACAGGCATGCACCACCATGTCCAGCTACGTTTTTTGTATTTTTAGTAGAGACGGGGTTCTTGCCACATTGCCCAGGCTGGTCTCGAACTCCTAAGCTCAAGCAATCTGCCCACTTTGGCCTCCCAAAGTGCTGAAATTACAGGTATGAGCCATAGCACCTGCCTCCCATGAGCTTCCACATCTCAATGCCTGGGCTTATATATATAAGCAGAGGATATACCAGCTGCTTCCTCTGGCTGGTATATCCTCTACAACTTCCACATTTTCAACTCCTTTAGAACTCAGCTCAGTAAGTTAATTATTTCCTTGTCTTTATCTACACAGTAACTTTCTTATATCTGTATGAGTAACTAAGACAAGATTAAGGAGTCAAAATAACCCGTGTTTAAGTACCAACTCTTTCCACTTGTTAAGAAAGGTCTGTGGCAAGTCTTTTATCTATTCCAAGCCTTAGTTTTGTCATTACCTATATGGAAATAACAGATTAAATAAACACAAAATATTGTATGTATCCTCTACAGCAGGGGTCCCCAACCCCCGGGACACAGACTAGTACTGTACTGGTAACAGGTTTGTGGCCTGTCAGGAACTGGGCTACACAGCAGGAGGTGAGTGGTGGACATGCAAAAGCAGCTTCATCTGTATTTATAGCTGCTCCTGCCAGGTGCAGTGGCTCATGCCTGTAATTCCAGCACTTTGGGAGACTTAGGCAGGTAGATCACTTGAGGTCAGGAGTTCGAGACCAGCCTAGTCAACATGATGAAACACCGTCTCTACTAAAAATATAAAAATTGGCCAGGCGTGGTAGCTCATGCCTGTAATCCCGGCACTTTGGGAGGCTTAGGCGGACGGATCACGAGGTCAGGAGTTTGAAACCAGCCTGGCCAATATGGTGAAACCCTGTCTCTGCTAAAAATACAAAAACTAGCTGGGCATGGTAGCACGTGCCTGTAGTCCCAGGTACACAGGAGGCTAAGGCAGGAGAATTGCTTGAACCCAGGAGGCAGAGGTTGCAGTGAGCCAAGATTGCACCACTGCACTCCAGCCTGGGCCATAGAGGAAGACTTTGTCTCAAAAAAAAAAAAAAAAAAAAAAAAAAAAAAAAAAAAAAAATTAGGCAGGCATGGTGGCAGGTGCCTGTAATCCCAGCAACTCCGGAGGCTGAGGTAGGAGAATTGCTTGAGCCCAGGAGGTAGAGACTGCAATGAGCCATGATCTTGCCATTGCACTACAGGCTGGATAACAAGAGCAAGACTCCATCTCAAAAAAACAAACAAAAAAGTATAGCTGTTCCCCATAGCTCCTATTATTGTCCAAGCTCCTCCTCCTGTCAGTGGCAGCACCGATAGGGCAAACCATATCGTGAACTTGAGCATGTGAAGGATCTAGGTTGCGCGATCCTTATGAGAATCTGATGATCTGTTACTATCCCCATCATCCCTAGATGGGACCATCCAGTTGCAGGAAAACAAGCTCAGGGATCCCACTGATTCTACACTATGATTGAGTTGTATGATTATTTCATTATATATTACAATGTAATAATAACAGAAATAAAGTACACAATAAAAATAATGCACTTGGATCATCCCAAAACCATCCCCTTGCCCCCAGGTCCAGGGAAAAATTGTCTTCCGCAAAACCAGTCCCTGATGCCAAAAAGTTGGGGACTGCTGATTATAGCACATATTTCCATGTTATTAGATTCTAGTCCTGTTTAAGGTTTTTTTGTTTTTAGCTATTTAGCAATTATTTGCAATGTTTTTAATTTTAAAAAATTATTTTTAAACTAAAGTAGGTTTTTTGAAATACAGTCTCACTGTCACCCAGATTGGAGTACAGTGACATGATTACAGCTCACTGCAGCCTCAACCTTCTGGGTTCAAGCAATCCTGTTGCCTCAGCCTCTCAAGTAGCTGTAACTATAAGGCATGTGTCACCATGATCAGTTAATTTTTGTAATTTTTGTAGAGATGGTGTTTCACCATGTCACCCAAGCTGGTCCTGAACTCCTGAGCTCAAGCATCCTATCACCTTGGCCTCCCAAAGTGCTGGGATTACAAGCATGAACCACAGAGCTGGCCTGCAATTTGTAGACAGATAACCGATAGATATGTAAATTCTGTCCTGTCACATAGTACCTTTTTTTTTTTTTTTTTTTTGTTTCGCTCTTGTTACCCAGGCTGGAGTGCAATGGCGCGATCTCAGCTCACCGCAACCTCCGCCTCCTGGGTTCAGGCAATTCTCCTGCCCCAGCCTCCTGAGTCGCTGGGATTACAGGCACGTGCCACCATGCCCAGCTAATTTTTTGTATTTTTAGTAGAGATGGGGTTTCACCATGTTGACCAGGATGGTCTCGATCTCTTGACCTCGTGATCCACCTGCCTTGGCCACCCAAAGTGCTGGGATTACAGGCTTGAGCCACCGCGCCCAGCCATAGTAACTTAATTGACAACACCCCTTCTCCCTCAGGGAATGGGGGATGGGGAAACTGTCAGAGGTGTGTCAAACAGAACAACTCCATCTTGAACAGGAGTGGATAAAATGAGGTTGAAACCTACTGGGCTCCATTACCAGCCGGTTAAGGTATTCTAAGCCACAGGATGAGATAGGAGGTCTGCACAAAATACAGGTTATTAAGACCTTGCTGATAAAACAAGTTGCAGTAAAAAGCTGGCTAAAACCCACCAAAATCAAGATGGTGGCCACAAGCGTGACCTCTGGTCGTCTGTACACTCCCACCAGTGCCATGACAATATACAGATGCCAGGGCAACGTCAGGAAGTTACCCTATGTGGTCTAAAAAGGGGAGGTATGAATAATCCACCCCTCGTTTAGTATATCATCAAGAAATCACCATAAAAATGGATAACCAGGGGGTGGGAAAAGAAAAAAAAAAAAATGGATAACCAGCAGCCCTCGGGGCTGCTCTGTC